GCCCTGCTTCTCCGTATGGAGGCACCGTGGCCATCACAGAGTGGGGCAGAGTGGGGAGCGCTTGGATGGGTCCAAGGCCGATGAAGGTGGACAAAGATGAATCTTTGCTTAACCTACATAAGACCACACACATTTTACTTCCAGAAACAGCTCCACTGTTACTCATTTTAGTTAAAAATAGCAAAGAGCACTGATGTAGCCTGTGACTACCATCAAAAGAGACATTTTGCACCAAGTGAATGGCTGCTGCAGAAGAGACCACTCTCTGGCCATGTTGTATGATACTCTGAATCTTATTTCCCAGTAGGGATGGGAGGCCTAATAGTAAATACGTTATAAATGAACTAATTAGTAGAAAGAAGTACATAATAAAATACATGATCAACCCTTAAGGAAATTACTCTTTCTAAGCAGGCCCTCTGGTTTAATTTGGATTCCCTTTCCAGCTCCTTCGAGCGTGACCGCTGATCGACAAGTGCCCTTGGAGGTAAGGTGGGTAAACACTGAAGGTGGATTTGATTTAGTGTTTAGGAGCCACTCAGTATTTAGAAAGTGGCACCGATGGGTTCAGAAGTGATGGCTCTGGGGGAGGACCTTGGGAACACTGTAAATCACCATAGTCGGTGAGTTCATGTGCTACTAAGTGCTGGACACCCCGCTCCCAACAGCCTCCGGGGTCTCTGCCGTGTGGGAGTGTCTGTGGGAGGGTGCAGTGTGGCTCCACCATGCCTGTCACAGCCACAGACTGAAAAGTGGCCCCAAGGATATGGGGCTGATCTCCCTGAAAAAGAAGGGGCTGGAAACTTAGTTCATCCACACGGCCAATGATTCAGTCAGTCACACCTACCTAATGAAACCCCAACAGAAACTTTAAATATGGAAGCTTGGATGCACCTCCCTGGCTGGCGATACTCTGAGTGCCATCCCACATCCCAACCAGGAGAAGGCAACGCCGTCCGCCGTCCGGGACTCTATCCCCGGGAGGGTACGGCTAGGGTACGTGCATCTGGAACCCTTCCAGACTTCACGTGAGCATCTCTTATGGTAGCTGCTTCTGATTTGTATCCTTTTGCTGTAATAAAACTGTAATCAGTTCTAAAAACTGGCCTGAAAAAGTACATGACAGGACTGTTATTTTGAAAAGCTTAAGGAGTAAGTGGGTCCTGAGAGCAACGGAGATTTCTTCTTACCTATATCCTTCCTTTCATGCATCCATTCCCAGCTTCACCCACCCCCACCCAAAAGGTATGTTGCCAGAAATTTGGGGCTGCTTTCTGTGACGGAGGCCAGGTACTGAGAAGGAAGGAAATGGGTACTGGAGCATTCTGGAAGTTTGCCTGTCCTCCTTTCTGGCCAAGGAGCCAAAGGGCAGCCATTTACTAATCTGGATCTCAGCATCCTTGTTTGTATTTTAAAAGACTTCAGGCGAACTGGGCGATCATTTTATTACATGGATCCGATGAACACAGAGCAATGAACTCCCTTCATTACTGTAACATTGCATTAAGGAATCAAGAGTGATTGGAGTGGAAAAGAGATACTTGCTATCTTCTTATTACTGGTGGAAATACTGCCCTATCTCCTCCAGAAACAAGTTAATTAACTAATGTGAAGGGTTTTAGGGACATTTTGAGGGAAAGTAGACAAAATGGAGAGACAGAAACTTCCGACTAGTGTGACTTACTTGGTTCAAAACAGTTTCTCTCTTGAATTTACTGGTGATAACCAGATTCAAAGCGGAAGCAGACCCCAGGGATGAAGGAAGCCCAGGAGAGACGATGGGATTTGTTCCCAGACATGTCGGAAACCCCCAGATAGGGCACAGGGTACAAGAAAGAAACTATGCTACCATTACCTCATGCCATGAACTTGCAGAACTTTCTGAAGAATTTCTGTAAGATCTCAGAAAGAACTTGTGTGGCCCACACTTGATTAAAGTGTATAATTTCAATAGGGCACAGATCCATGAGCCTGTGGTCACATCCAATTTGCTTTACCAAGCTATCTGGGGAAGACACCGATCATTTTTGGTTCGTGGTAGTTGACCTAAACAATAAGTAAAAAAGGCAAATAGTGTGAAGAAGCTGGACCCGCCTTTACCTGTCCTTCCTATAAGCTCCTAGGGCACCCTTTGCGTTCACCCCTCCCTGCCACTTGACATATGCCATTCTAATGACCTACTTACTCACCTGTCTCCCCCAAATCCTCCAGCCAGGGGCAGTGTCCTGTTTATCACTGTAAGCCCTCTGCTGGCACAGAGATTACCAATCATGTTTATGAAATGAATAAACAAGTGAATGAAAAGCAAGTGCTTCCCTTCTAGAGTAATTAATTCTACCTGGCCTAAATTAAGCCCGTTTCTTTAAGTGTGAGGAAATGAATGGTTATATTACAGAGCATGCAGAAATTCTCATTTAATAATGAGCTGGGACCAATAATAAAAATTATCTGCCTGTTGTCCACTCTGCCAAGTAGCCCAATCTGTTAACGGACGTGAAAGATCTAATTTAATTAAATCTTGAACAAGGCTCAGAAAACCTACCGAGAGCACTTTGTTTAATTGCAGGCAGGGGCAAGCACCAATCCTATTGATCTGGTCAGCTCAAATTCTACACAATAAATGTGGGCAGTGAAAAAAAAAAACAACGTGGCCCCAATCGCTTTTCAGTCAACTTTGATGGACTGTGGATTCAGAGCCGCCATGAAGGCAGTGAAGGCAGGCCAGCCACGTGTCATGTGGCAGCACAAGGAGGGACGTGAAAGTGTCCTCCGTCACTCCACAGGGCTGCACTTGATGAAGAACAGAAGACGCCGACCACAAAAAAACAGATTCCTCCTCGGGGAAATGAAATGTAATGGGTGGTGGTGGGTGGAAGTCATCCAGCATTTAAAGGCTAGTAAACAGGCATTCAAAGGCATCTAGCAAATTCTCTGAGACTCAAAATTGTCTTGAAATAAAAAGAAATAAATCCAATCCATGAATATGTGTACAAATTCCTGAGGACATTTCCAGCTGATACGAGTTCTTCAACATGTTTATTTGGAGGTAACTGAAATGTAAATTATATAAATTTAATATAAAACCATATTAACTGCAAAACTTAAACTACCTTTTAAGTATGATGAGAAAAAAGGCTGCCTAAGTGTTCTATGATTTATAAGCTAATTTCCCTGCATTGGGTATCAGTATCACCCCCACTTCACGAAACAGTAAACTGAGGCACAGAGAAGTTAGGTAACCTGCCAAAGACGCATGGTGACGTGGGAGGTCCGGCTCCAGGGCCCGGCCACGCGCCGCCAAACTACACTGCTCTTAAGGCCGACCCCCAGGGTTGGAGAAGATACTCAAAGGAAATGGGCTGGCCTTTTATCTTCTGCTGGTCACAAGCCAAGGGCTCTCTTGTGCTTTAGTAACTCAAGTTACAGGAGGAAATTTATTCTAAACCACAATATGTAATTACACCTGAGACCAACATTTCCCTCACAAAACATGCACCACCAGAATGCGCACGCAAAGAGCAAGTGCACCTAATTAGGGCATTAGTCATAATGATCAGGGAATTCACTCCAGGAAATTACAGGTGGTGGGGGCATCAGCTTGGAGGAAATTTCATCAGCTTGCCCAGATAAAATCTTTGCTGACTGGGATGACTTACACATGCTGATGCAAGTGGAGAGAATGGCACCCAATACGGGAACTACCTTATTATGTACATGAGTTCTGACAAAACGATGTTCAGATTTGACAGGTAGGGATGCTGGCCTTTTAATTACACCATCAACTACAAGTGTGGAAAACAGCTGATAACATTCAAAAATAGTAATTTCTTCCATACTCACACGTAACTAAAGTTACTGTTTACGGAAGTAACAGTAAGAGTAAGAAAACTTCCATGTGGATTAAAAAACACAATGAGCTACACATGCTGACCTTTTTGAAGAACGACTTACTTCCAAGGTACTCTCTAAAAGGGGGGAGGGAGTGTGCAATGGCGAAGGACTGTGACATCCCCTGGACGTGTTTTTTACCTCCCTGGTCCCACTTAATCTGTGTGCAAAATTACCAGGTAGAGTCAAACTAGAAAGCAAGATTCAGTATCACTGAGGGTGAGAAAGAGAGTAAAGCAGGTCTCATAATTCACAGTGAAGTTCACAGGGAATTGTTTCTGACCAAAGCACTCCTTGCTTCTCCCCCAGTCCAATCAGAGATCAAATTCACAGCCAGGCAAAGAAGTATTTGTGGGTTCCAGAGGAAAAAACTCCGTTTTTGGAAAACTCATTGCTTTTAACAATTCTGCCAAACATTTCTATCCTGAAATATCAGCTCCTTTGGTCATGGATACATTTTGTGAACAAAGTGATTCTCACACTGCTTCAGGCAACAGAGCCATCGGTACACTGGTGTGAGTACCAGGAATTACACATGCATACACATGCTTAACACATGCATGCACACACAAAGCAAATATATATGCAGATACATATATATATGATTATTTAAAGCTAATAAGTCTGCACTAAATGAGCTGACATTTCTCATCAGAGTCACTATAGATAGATGAGCGCAGCTGCTGTAAATGTAAAGAATAAAAGAAACTGCAGAGGGGGAAATTCTATATATTTTTGCAAATTATAAAATATTATTAGTTGATCTTAAAAAGAACATTTTAATTGAGCTTGGGGAAGACCTGTATATCCAGGAGAATGGTCTGAGAATCACTGTGCTGAAATAATTTTACCATCCACTTAGATTTGATTCTGGAGAAGAGTGGTTTTTATAAAAAATCTTTCCTCCACACCTCAGCACTTTCAAATTACTTTTCTTTCAAGAATGACTTTTAAAAAAATGACTTCATAACCAGAAAAGGGATGGCAATTCCCAAGGCTACAAATGCCACAAAATTGCTGGGGCTGCCCTTGGCTCTGCATGCTGGCTCCTCTTGGCCCGCACCCTTTAGGACCCGGCCCAGGCCCAGACCCGATGGACTTGGCACGCTTACCCTCCTCCGGAGCCGGTCCCGCTCCTCCCGGATGGCGTTCATGGTGGCCTTAGTCCGGTTCAGCTCCTCCTCTTTGCTGCACAGCATGGCGGTCAGGCTCTCATTCTCTTCCCTCAGCCCAGCCAGCTCCTTCTCCCAACGAGACCGCTCCTCAGCCAGGTTGGGATACAGATCCCGGCCGAGTACCCCCTCAATCTCCTCAACGGTCTAGAAAACACAGCCGCAGAAACAGGCCGAGTGAGTGAGCAGGGAGAGAGGGGAGGGGAAGAAAACAGGCTGGACAGGGGCACGTGTCCACAGAGGAGCGGGTTCCACAGCCTCTTCATCGTGAACCGTAATCATGAGCAGGGACACCAAGTCCTCCTCTCCTTGTTTTCAAATCAGGCTCTGCTGCCCGCTTGGGTCCTACTCTGTGTTTCCAGCAGTCCCCACAGGAGGAACCACATGGTCCCTTCCTGGCACTAACTGCCCACACCAATGTTTATCTCCTGCGTCCACGTTCCCGAGTTGGTGACTACACACCAGCAAACAGAAGCTGGTGAGTGATCCTGCCACGCAAATGTGAGGCTGCACACTTCTCACAAAACCTAACTTGAAGGTTCCTAAATTATAGGCCTCCCCACTCCGGCTCTGGCAATACGAAGAGGCTGAGTCACCACCTCCAGCTTTCCGTGTCACGTTGGAATTCAGAGGGCGAGTGAGTGAGGTGCAGCCCCAAGATGTGAGAGACAAAAATAAACCTCAGTGAACAGGAAAGAGGGAGCTCATTGTGGAGGTTTCTAAGACAGCAGGGATTTAATTAATAAAATAGCTATGAACTCAAAAGAGCAGAATCTTAATACTTGGAGAGTTTTTAAAAATTCATTTAAAACATGGCATTAATGGAGAAGAAACGTGCGGAAAATTAGAAAAAAAGGAAGAACTCATTCTGCTTGCTTTCAGAAACTCTTCATTCGCATTTCTTGTCCTTTGGAAAAGGAAGTACAGCCAAGAGACAGGGAAGGGGAGGGAGGATCAGTAGGTGGGAGCAGAAGGCAGTGAAGAGTGTGATGAGAAACAGGTCTTGAAACAAAACAAAATGAAACAAAAAACATAAGGGGATGTCCCTTGTGTTTGCTCACACTGGTCTCCCAATTGTGCTGCTACGTCCCCCCTGTTGTGCCTTGTCCTTCCTCTCAGATCTGGGGCCTGCTCTGTCCCTTGCTGGTTCGCCGGAGTCCCTGGCTTCCTCCTGCCCTCTCACAGCTGCGGCCAGGGCTAGTACCCAAGTTGACTTCAAAATTAAATAAAGGACCTTGGAGACTCCAGACAAAGAAACACTAGTGGTTGCTTCCCCAAACCACATCAATGATGTATTAATAGTTGAGATAAATAAAGATGGAAAACCAGCTGTGTTACAAATGTGAATCACGGTTCACCTTGAGATGCCACCGCCCTCTCGTGCAGTCCAGGATTCCTGTTGATAGAAACTTGGGCCTAGAGGCCTAAGACATTTTTCAAGCAACACATCACATTTTCCCTTTGCAGAGGCCCATCCCAGGCTTTCCAGACTGAATCGCTGTGCCGAGGTCACTAAGCCGTGGTGAAATAATACAGAGATCCCGGAGGCCCCGCATCAATAGGACTCCATGTTCCCAATGCTCCTGATGAGTCTGTGCACATGTAGCCAATTCCTCTCTTTCTGTCCTCCTTGAGAAGTGACATGAAAGGCGTGGCTGAGACCCATCACCACTGTGTTCGGAATCCCTGACTCACCGAGGCCTTCCCCCTTGTTAGCACTGTGAACTGATAACTCCTGAAATAATATTCTAGAGGCCATAAAGCTTTAATAAAATGTCCAAGGTAATCTTTGGGCTGTATGATGCACCACACTAAAATGATGTGGTTCAATACTAGCAGTCTGAGAGTTTCCAAGAAAATTGTCATTTTTGCTGCAAAGAAGGTGATCCTGACTGTTGACATAATGACTTTTTCTAATGTAATTTGGCCCAACAAAAATTTATGGGTGCTGGCTTCTGTCTGGTGACCCAATCTGTAAGTATGGATTTCTTAGAAACACTCATTCTTAACAGGTATTTGCGATAACCACACTTCAAAAGAGAGAGATCTGATTATTTCCCCCACATGATCTCGAAGCCACAGAGGGTGGGGGCAGGGGGTTACCTTAATGGCTAAGTCGCAGTGCTCACTGGCTGTGGTGAGCTGCTCGATGTGCCTGTCCACTTCGGCCACAGACAGGCTGCAGCTGCTCTTCTTCCTGCAGCAGACGACGTTCTCCAGCCCCGTCAGCACGCGCTGCAGCTCCGAGTTCAGGTCGCTGCAGTTATCTGCGGTGAACGTGGGCAAAATGAGTGAAGCAGGCAGGTGGGCAATGAAGGCTCTTCATTTCGCTTCCCATGAAAAATCCATGCCAGTAAAACAAAATGGCAATAGAACTTGAAATTTCAAAGTTTAACACAGGGCAGCCTAATCTCAGGCTGCTCGCATTCCTCTGAGGCTTGGAGCCAATGAAAAACCTTTAAGTGGTTTAAGACCAAGGTCATTTTCTACAGAGCCATGCCAGGCTGAATTCTCCTGGCTTTCACTTAAAGGCAGCCACAACTTGAGTTTCTTTAATAAGAACAAAGGAAATGTCCTGGAAAGGGGCTGGTGGGGCTTCAAAAGACTTCTGGTCAACCTCCCTGTGCAACTATTCAGACAAGCACTGACTCCAGCAAGAGTGTCAGCAAAAGACGATCTCATACTTTTACTAAACCAACAAGACAACAAAGCTCAGAGTTGCAGAGACACTAGGCATTTTAAAAAATGGAAGCTGTGTAAGACACAGCCCTTGCCCTCACTGAGCTTATAATTAAGACTTTTTCCTGATATAACCAATCAGCATGCACTACTATTGCAATTTAACTCATTTCTTCCACCAGGAAAAATAAACTGTTCTAAGAAATTACATATTGTCCTCTATGCAAATGTCTTGTAAGCAATTCTAGTAACTTGATTCTGGTTTAAAAATCTGGGTTATTTGTAATTGCTGGATATCCAGGGTCAAATTAAGAATTATAATCTTAATGTGAGCTAGACATATCTTAAAAGTCAATTTTGTTGGAAACAGACCCCCTTCATGTCACGCAGTGCACAAATAACTGTTATTTTGAATTCTATGCATCACCATGCCATTCAATTCTTGCAGCGAGACAGGTGTTGTGTACACGCCACCTCTCCAAGTACATCCTTCCCCGACAGCCCGCCTGGTTCCTCCATGAAAGAAGCTCGATGGCTTCAGTTTCCCCTCTTCACTCCTCCTCCCTTCTCATCACAGGTTCCAGGTACTAAAATTAAAATGGTCAGTTGCTTTCGGTGCTTACCTTTGGGAAACTTCAAGAAAACTCAGCCCTATAGCAACAGGACTTACCAGAATATTTTGGTCAATCTTACTTGGTTGTCTGTATGTACATTACCTAAGTCTAGAGAGAATACAGCCTGAGGCTTTCACTGCCATCAATACACCCAGTCATTCCCCATCCTCTCACACTTGTGTCTCTCACAGCTCTGTGAATGGCACCACCACCCACCACCCGAACAGTCTCAGGTCAACTCTTGGGCAACCCTTGATGTCCTTTTGCCTCACATCATAAGCCCGATCCATCTTGATATTGTGACCTCCAGAATGTATCCCCAAAGTGACCTCTTCGTACCATCTTCACTGATACCACTGATACCACTGTAGTCCAACCTACCATCATGTCTCAACACTGCCCAAAGGAAGCCCCTCAAGGACATAAATCAGATCATGTTACTCCTCCAGTTCAAACCATCGATTGGCTTCGTACTGTCATTCAACTAAAGTCTGGACTCCTTACCAGAGTCTGTAAGACTCCGCATGATGAAGGCTGATGATATTCTCAACCCAGGCTGCACAGTGCAATTCCCTGGGGAGCTTTTATAAAATTCCAGTGTCCAGGCTCCACCCTAGACCAATTAAATCACAATCTCTGGGGGTGGGGCCTGGCCACTGAGCCATGTTTTAAAGTTCCTCAGACAATCGTGTGTAGTCCGGGTGAGACCCGCTGATTGCGTCCTCACTTCATCCATCCACCCTCCCCTCACTCACTGTTCTCTGTTGGAGCTCCTGGCCTCCTCTCCATCCTTGGAACCTGCCGACGTCCTGCCCGCCCCAGGGCTTCCTTTTCCTTGGCTGCTTCCTCTGCTAGGACTGATTTCTACCCTAATCTCCACTTATCATTCAGTTGTATCTCAAGTGCCACCTTCTCCCCAAGCCCTTCCCTATTCGAAGGGTGGATTTCATCTCTTCTCCCTGCACAGTCCCTGCCCTATTATTCTTCATGGTATTAATCACTATCTGATCTGTCTTACGTGTTTATTATCTCTTTTCTATTAAAATGTAAGCTCCATGAAAGAAGGGACTGTGATGTTCCTCACCATTGTATCTCCAAATACTGTAGGCAATCAAAAATTATTTTAAGTGAACAAATATAAATATCACATCATTATGTATTTAAGAGAGAGCAAGACTAGAAGCACAGACTCTGTCTCTAGCAGCATGTTTTACAGCAACCTTATGCTTTTTGTCCTTGTTATAGATTATGCCCCAAGTTAATAACGACTCAGGAAGAAGGCCCTCTGGAGATGGAGGGTGGGTGCCGACCCCCAGGTCCCAGCAAGGGGGGCCGGGGCCAGAGCAGCACTGCTCAGCGGCCACAGATGCCAGTGGAACTATTTTTAGAGCATATTTAATTACAGGGTAATAATTGGAGAAGTTTCTTGGAATGATCATTTACCTTGAGGTACAGGGTTTTTCCTGGGACCCTGAATTAAAGTTAAGACACACTCCTGAAGTATTGTACTTGCATTATTACGTGATTATGAGTAGGATGAGAAGGAAAGATGCCTCTGTTCAGCCAATCCATGCAGATCCCCCAGTACAGCTCCCCCATGCAACAATCACATCGCACATGTCTGCTGATGGGCTCTCTCAGCGGGAATGGAGAGGGGAACCAGGCTGGGTCCTGAGGACGCTGGGCCACAGAGAACAGGAAGAAGGTGTAGGGATCCAACTAATATTTCATTCTCATTCTTCAAACCATCGCTGAGCCTGGCCTTAGGCCAGTAGTAGGGTACAAAGATAAATAATACTCTTCTCAACTTTTGAGAGGCTTGCAGTTGTGCAAGGCAAATGCCACAGTTCGTTCTCTCAGCTGACCACCACCACCCTGGGCAAAGCAACTGTATAGAATATGATCCAATTATGGAACAGAGAAATAGGAGGACTAAGGAGGGTTATTTAAATTACCATAGGGACTATAAACCACTAATGAGCATCTTGCCATCAAAACAAGGAGGAATATAAATGCTTTTTTTGGTCTTAGGAAGCCACATGTGTAAAGCACAGGTTGAACGATGAACCATACACACTCCAGTCTATTGTCCAAGAAGTTTGGCACTGTGGTTCTACACAAGCCCCATTAATGACAGAATGGCACTTGGCTGCCCTTTGTCATTGTTCTCTGTTTGGAGCCTCACAGAAAGACAAAGTGGATGAGCTGGCTGGAGCGAATATTCTGGTTCCCCTGATGGAGTGTTGGCACATAGCACCCAGCAATCACCACCACCCACCTGGTACCGGTGCTGCTCAATGCAGGTGCGATTATCATTCACAGTCTGTGGCGTATTCATCCAAAGACAGATTCAGGATAAATTCTGAACTCCCTCCCTTGCCCTGTAACACCCTGCACAATCTGGCCGGCCCCTGCTGGAGACTGCAAGGTCAGCACTGAAGGCTGAGGGACTTGCAGTGTCTACAAAGGGTAACAGGTGTTAAGTTAAGGCGCCAGAAGAGCAATATGAGCAGAGGCGAGGGATCAAGTGTGTTCCAGAGTGAACAAAAGGTGCCTCACACACAAATCAAAACTGAAATGAGGTATCACCTCACACTCATCAGGATGGCCACTATATAAAAACAACAGAAAATAGCAAGTGTTGGCAGGGCTGCAGAGAAATTACAGCCCTTGTGCCCTGTTGGTGGGAGTAAAAATGGTGCAACTGCTATGAAAAACAGTAAGGCCGTGCTTCAGAAATGAAAAACAGGACTCCCACATGATGTAGCAAGCCCACTTCTGGGTCTGTACCCCAAAGAATTGAAAGTGGGACTGACAAGGATACTTGTACACCCACATTTATAGCAGCATGATTCACAACTGCCAAAAGGGGGAAATAGCCCAAAACGTCCACCGATGGATGGACAAACAAAATGTGGTACACACACACAACGGAACAGTACTCAGCCTTCAAAAGGAAGGCGATTCAGACATGCCACCACACTCATGCACCTTGAAGGCATTAACCTAAGTGGGAAAAGCCAGTCACAGAAAGACAAGCATTATATGATTCCACTTACATGAGGGCATCTGGAGCAGGCAAATCCATAGAGACACAGTAGAATAGAAGCTGAAGGACTGGGGGGAGTGGGGCAATATTGCTTAATGGATACAGAGTTTTTTTGGGAGGGTGAAAAAGTTCTGGAAATAGGCAGTGGTGCTGGTCGCACAGCTCTGTGAATATATTTATTGCCACTGAATGGTGTATTTGCTGTGGGACCCTGAGGCAGACCCCTGGCTGTGCTGTGCTGTATGTAGGAAAGGTACTGGTGCCGCTCCACGTCCAGAGATGAAGAGGATGCCATTCGTATCAAACACACATTCTTCTAACAGAGGTTCTTAATGTCTCTCCACAGAAGAGTCTGAGGCTACATGCACCAAACAAAGAGGAAAATAGTGATTAGGCCCAGGAAGAGGCTGAGGAAGCAAACAAAAGCGAACAGCTGCTGGGCTGACTGTTCCACTTAGCCATGACATGAGCTTCCTGGCAGCCAGAGCAAAAATGAATTATCTCCTGTCAGGAAGGAGGAAGCATTCCAGTTTCACAAGGGAGACTGTGTGCTTTTAGCAATAGATGCTAGAAGAATTTAGGTACATGGCATCATAGGCGGCATGAAGCAATGGGATTGCCAGTCTCCTCAGACAGTTTCACGCATATGCAGATTTCATAGGCTTTCTTCTTATACAAACCATCAATTAAAATTAAGCTGTAGACCATTAAAGTACAACGCAAAGGGAGTTCTGGAAGGACTAAGCTCACTCTTGGCATCCTGCCTTCCACTTGTCTAATTCGCTGTAGAGATGAAAGAGAACACACAGAAGAATAAATGAAATGGACATCTCCCTTCGACCAGAGGATGCAAATGAGCCACCTGCAGCTGAAGATGATTTGTTTGGAGGGCAAGGTTTGATAGTTAGCACCACCCCCCACTTTT